AAACAGCTACAAATGATTCAGGTGCGAGTGAACTGTCCAAAAAAAGCAAAAGCAATCGCAAACCATAGACATTTTTGATCAGTACAAATGGAACGCACCATTAACCATTGGCCTCGCACACCCGCCATGTTTGTAGTTTTTTTTATTCATGTTCATAATTCTGAATGGTATGCTCCTCCAAACTGCAATGGGTTGTGGAAAATATTAGCCGTTAGAGTATTTCCATCAATAGTAGACCATCCGGATACGTTTGCGATACTCATTTCAACATACTACAATTTAGGATTCACTAATTCTAAATTAGAATACTATTTTGGACATATAGTATGTGAATCACAATAGTATGCGGAAACAACCAAAGAGAGTATACCAAAGAATGAAAGTGAGAGAGCAGGGTGGCCCAGATAGTGACACAAGCTTGTGTCTGTGTTTTCTCGCTGGACCAGAGAAGATGCAGTGAATCTGTAAATTAAGCATGCTGCTCTTGGCGCCCCCTGCTCTCTGAGTATGTGCATCTGTGTTTATGCGTGTGTGTGTGTGTGTGTGTGTGTGAGTCAGAAAGAGAGAAAGACTCCTTTCAGCAGAGACCACCATTCCTGCTACCGATCAGACGAACTTCATCTGATGGGCTGACAGAGACGGTCGCTCCATGCATCAGCTCCCAAAAACAACAATGTGCTATCAACCCTCATATACACTCCAACACAGACACAGACACACGGTAGCCATATGTGCCATACACAAACACTCATCTCAGCTCATTTGATAGAAGCCTAGACAAGCAGAAATAGCTGTGTGTGATTTCACAACCCTCCTTATCACTGTCATTCAGCATGTGGGCACTGTGTCTAGCAATGTGTGCTTTGACGCCAACATTCATCAATTACTCACACACAATATCCGTCCAAACGCAGTGCTGTGACGTTCCGATTACAACGCCAGATCTGTTAGCACAAGTGCTAATAGATAAGTGAGCGCTGGCATGAAGAATCTGATGGGCGTGTGGCACCGGTCACATCTTTCCCCTGAGGCCTCGGCTGCTGTGATGCCGATTAAAGCCTCAGATGTAACTAAGAAGTTTCCTTTCGCACAGGAGTGAATCAACAACTTCCTCTGTGATCAAGCACATCACGATCCTGCTTATAACATCATGAAGAGGTTCATTAAAGGTATTGCTGTAAGTGATATCATTAACTTCACCCAGCTATGTTCAGAATGACTCACTAGCGTAATATGCTTGCTGTTGTTGGATGTATACTAGTAAGTGAATTTCCTGTATTCACAGAATGCTCAGATGATCTACTACACTGACCAAAATGAGCAGAGTATAACAAAACGTACTGCATAGAATAGTGTGCCCCACAATAGAAAGTGTTTGAGATATGTTGAACACTATAAAATATTTCATTTAGCATTAGCAGCACAACTGTTTTGAACAATGATAATAATAAGAAATGGTTCTTGCACAGCAAATCAGCATCTCAGAATGATTTCTGAAGGATCATGTGACACTGAAGAGTGTCGTAATGATGCTGAAAATGCAGCGCTGCATTCCTGTGATTTGATCAAAAAATAAATGCAACCTTGGTGAACATAAGTATGGAAGCCCGTTTCCGCCACTGAATAAAAAATAAAAGAGGTTATCTCACAATTCTGACATTTTTTCTCATAATTGCGTGATACAAACTCGCAATTCTGAGAAATAAAGTCAGAATTCTATGTTATAAACTCGCAATTGTGAGACATAAAGTCGCAATTCTGAGAAAAAAAAGTCAGAATTGCGAGAAAAAAAAGTCAGAATTGCGAGTTTTTAATTCTGACTTTATAACTCGCAATTTTGAGTTTATATCTCTCAATTCTGACTTTATAACTCGCAATTGCGAGTTTATATCTCACAATTCTGTGAAAAAAGTCAGAATTGTGAGATAAAAAGTCGCAATAACCTTTTTTTAAAATTATTTATTTAGTGGCGGAAATGGGCTTCCATACATAAGAGACATCTCACAGAAACATTAAAAAAAAAAAAAAATCTTACAAACCCCAAAGTTTTGAATGGTAGTGTACTTGCCCCATGTCATTCCAAATTTTTATTGATTTCTTCATTTCAACATAATAGGAAATTATAATTATTTGTATGCATTTTTCTATAAAATGAAAGTGACATTGTTCATTGTCAGTGGAAGGTTACTTACAGTTCCTTTACGACTTGTTAAAAATAAACAACAATTATAATAATTTGTACAGTGAAGTGATAATGAAGTGGTGCATTCTCAGCTCTGAAATCGTGTTGTCATCTGTGAGTAAACAAAAAAATGACACAAATTATATGTGATTCTGATTAAATATAACTTGTTTTTCACACACAAATGTCTTTTTTTTTCATTAAGGAATGTATGTAATTTAATGATTTTACAAAGCCCCTTAAGTAATAATTATAAAGAAGGCTTATGTTTCATCAATTTTGGATGCTCACAATTCACTATTTGTTTTTCTTTTATTGGCTGTGTTCAGAATAGTGTGCATAGCATGTAAATTTTTCGGTATGCATGCAATAGTACAGAGATCTCATACAACTTTTATCAAATAATTCGGTAAACTGTGTGTTTTATACTGAAGGGAAGGGGTGTTCATAGGCCAAACACGATTGTTATGTTTATTAATATAAACAACTGAAATAAACAATTCTTCCGCCAAAATAGCATAGTTCATTAGCACAGCGGTAGGCTTTTAACAGTTGCCAAGCAATTGAGCAACTTGCTGCATTATTATAGAATGTGTTTACTGGCTATTTTACAGAGGCTTGGAACATTACTCATCCAATTAAACGTTAACAGAACTTTGTTTTTATAAATGTGGATTATACAGAGCACAAAGTGTGAAATAATGTATCCCGGAATGCAAAGCACATGATTGGATGGATGGACCATAAATAATATTAGGCATGAATTTTAACATCTCATTCTCGATTTATGATTTTATTGAATTGCCAAAAAACATTTTTAAACAAAATTTCATTAAAAGATAGAATTGGACATGACTCGATTTATACATGGAGCACAATAAGGTCATGCGACAACAACTATAGTTTCACATACTTAAATAGGCAGTATGCTATAGTATGCAGTAAGCAGTACACTAGCCATCAGCTCCATTCACATTAGTTGTTTTCACCTCCACCCTCCATATCCTCAACACTCATAGATTTCCAGATGGTCCCCTGTGGCCCTCTAGTGGCCCTCATATTAACTGCACATCTTGTCATATTCATTTAATAACTGACTGACTGACTCGCTCAGTCTAAGTTCCAGTAACTTGATAGTGCCCTTCTAAGGGAACTTTACAGGGTTTTCAACCAACTTGAGTGGGAGTCCACATCACAGGAAGTAAACATGCTCAGTCTGAAGGACACAGCAGAGAAAACGTCTAGGTTACTTGTGTAACCCTCGTTCCCTGAAGGAGGGAACGGAGACGTTACGTCAGTCGTGACTGACGAATTGGGATCTCGCCCGAG